ACTAAGATTATTAAGGAACAGGCCCATCTCTGCTATGAGGAAAGCTCTGACAGCTCAACCTGGAGAAAAGAATGCTCAGGTGAATCTCGTCAACACATACAACTATCTGAAAAGAGACGGAAAGAAGATAAAGCAAGGCTCACTTGAGCAGTACCCAGTGACAGGATGGTAATGGGCACAGCTGGAAGCACATGAGGTTCTGTCCACAAGCCAGGGATTACTTTTTTATGATCAGGGCGACTAAGAACAACTGCTTGTAAAGGTTGTGCAGTCTCCATCCTCAGAGGTGCTCAAAAGCCGTCTGGACATGGGCCTGGGCAGCTTGCTTTAGAAGACCTACCTTGAACAGGGGGTATTGGACCAGATACCTCAAAACTCTGTGATTCTGTCCATGGATACATGTAACCTTACAATATCTTCTATTTAGCCATGTAGGATGGCACTTGCAACTAGCTGCTGAAAAAACATCTACAACTTCCTGACTATTCAGGAAAAATAGTATCTAATTAATTACTTAAGAAAAAGGAATATGAAATCTCTATTAAATGTTTGTAATTTGTGTGCTATGCATATAATTAGTGGAAAAGAACCAATACAAGTCCTTTTTTTTGCTCCACTGACAATTCATAATTTTGGAATAGTATACTGTTTGCTGGCTATGACTATATACTTACATACACTCCTGTGGTCACTCCTGTCCTCTGAAAGAACATTCACTATATTGCTAAGTCATTCCTGTAACATCTTTTCATCCAACTTCACACACTGAAACCATCCAAAAGAAGCCTCTCACCACCTACAAACCCTAAAATATATGTTCTAACACTTGCAAATACAAATTCCCTTAAAATGGCCTTACTGAGTCTCAAGTTATCTACATTGAAGGACTGATCTGTTGTAGTAACTTGAGTGTAACAAAACTCTACATTCCATGAAAGAGTGGAAGAGAATACTCAACAATTCCGCATTTACAAAAAGAAAGGAAAGAAAAAATGGAAGATCAGCAGTAGCTCTAAAAGGAACAAAATAGCACTTCACTTTCAGACTGCCCAAGGCTGAAATAGAGGTTGGGTATCAAGCATAAAATAAACACCGATATAAAAGGAAATAAGCAAGTAGAAATCACATTGTAACACCACCACAGAAACAGAACGCAACAACTTACAGTAAGAAAGTGCCATAATGCTCCTAATAAAGAAATCAGTCTGAAAATCTTTGTCAATCACAGATGAGCATGCAAGGATGGATAACAGACACATGCTTAACACAGCACAATTGTGTTTCACTATGGGATTGATTTAAAATTAGATGGATACATAAATAAATGAGAAGTCCCAGTTTGTACGGAGACCTTGTGAAATGAACCACATGGTGCTTCTTACAAATTTCTTCATTAAGACCTTCCTAACAACTTGATAAATAGTTTTCTGGTAGAGATATGCGGGAATGGAAATGATAACTTCATTAATATTTCTTTCTCATAAAGATAAAAAGTATCCTTTTATTAACTTGAAGGAGACTCTTTGGAGGTACAGCAAATATTTTAAATTACCTATTGATTATAGTAAGTTCAGTTTGAAAAGTGGAGTTCTTTGAAATGGTACAAATAACAGTTCTTTTGCTTATTATGAAATGCCATTTTAGGACATTACTGCGAACCTGGAGAAGGGTTAAAGGTATGCCTGAGAGCCAGGCCCTTGTACACCCACACTCAGAAGCTATGAGGGAGTCTTATTGACCTCTGAATTAAAACCACAGCTTTCAAATGGCTCTTTGTGAACATCTTACTGTTAATTCCCATTTATGGTACCACACAGCATGGATATCCATGTGCTTGGAGCATTCTAATTTATTACGGGATGGGCATTTTTAAGTCAGAAAAATAGTCTTTGGAGGGCGACTCAGGAAAAAAAAAATAATCATATTTCTTAATACATAGTATGTTGACCATAAGAAGTAGTCTACTTACATTGCACCTGCTGTTACATAAACCTGCCGTTTATCTTATAGTCTCCATATTTGTCTGTCATATCTTCCCTCAAAAAGGCATTCTTTTACAGAAGAGTACACTCAGAGAAAAAAAAGCAGAGCTGTAAGGATCATGTCACTGGTCCTACTGTTTACCATTATCTTCAAGGTTTTAGATTTGATTTACATCGCGTTCCTCCCTATTTGACTTTAATTGTCTGCTTCAAGTTGTCAGGACATAACTATATCTTAGATTTGCATTGCATTAGGGGATCTTTTCCTTTCTCTATTGATCTTGTCTTATGGAGTAATTTAACTCAATTCTAATTTTCTTTTGCATGCGGGGTGCTCTTTTTCGAAGGAAGTGAGTTATGTGTATTCAAGTGGTGCATCTTATGAATCTTGTTAAGCTTTACCGCCTTATAGCCCACACTGATGGAATATTTAATCACAGAAATGAGTTGGCAGATATGATGTACAATACGGTTAAGCCTTGCGGCGTATGTCTTCACCAGCAATTGAGAAACGGGTGAATTTGCCATTCATCACTGCCATCCTGACAGCTTTGTATAACCTTCTGGGATTTTTTTTTTTTTACTTATTTATGAAGATTAAAGGTACTTTAAATCAACAGTTTTTCTAGAAATATTTCATTTTTATTTCAGAAGTGGCCAAATTTTTCATCATTTATTAGAGCAGAAGAAATTTCTTGCACAGACTGTGGAATAGATGGTAGCACTTCAACATGACAGCGTTGGAGACAATAATTAAACCAAGTGACTGTAACTTTAACTGTCTTAAAAAAATCACATTTCTAAATTTAAAATCTTCAAAAGTGAAACTGCTTCTTTTCCAGATAAGGCGGGTTGATGCATAAATAAAGATATGCCACAGCATTCCATTATGGCATAGAAGAACTATTTCATTTTCTAATGACTTTAAGAGTTTGTGCACAGTTTTTTTCTGTTTGCTTATTTTAATCTATATTGCTTAAAGGAATCTTTAAACACCTGTGAGACAAAAGTTTATTTCAGTCATTACAGAAAATATGCAAAATAAAAAGGTCTGTATATGTACACAGAAAAAAATACTGAAATACATTAAGTATCCTGGATAGAACTTTCTGCATAGGTGTGGTAGAGTGCATGGCATAATTCATAAAATTAAATTAATACTCTTCTAATGGTAATTAAAGATTCTCATTAAGAAGGGCAAACACCTCCCTTGCGTTGGCAATAAAAATGCACTTGGGACTTATACAAAAGAAAAATCAATAACCTGCCATTTTTTAATTAAAAGAAAAAATAAATGTTAGGAAAAAATCCAGTAAATTAAGAAAATTACCTTCAGGAGAGATTGAAAATATTGATTTTAATTTACAAACTATGTGAACTCTTCATGCCCTACTTCATGAGACAATTATAAGTCAGACTGTTAATTCTGCATACGTATTAGAAAATTGATTACTGTACTATGGGAATATTATTATATTTGTCATTAACACAAAGTCATTTATATAAAATGACTAATAACTCTGAATTCCTAATTTATGCAGGTTCAGCGTTGGTTCACCAACTCCTCACACAAGATCAATGTTAAATTCCTGTTTTCAGTGTAGGTATACATCAAAGAAGGAAACAAATTCCACCTGCACCAAATATTGCTCTTCTATGAATACCAGCTTAGTGTTTCTATTATTCTTTCACAATGCAATTTGCATTGTTTCTCTATTTCAGTAGTTGGCACTGCACATATTACAGGCAGCTTCTTTAAAATAAGAATTCATTTATAACATTTCTATAGTGTAGTTCTATACAACATTTTTTCTCTCTTGAAATTCCCTGAACTAACCAAACATTTTCAGTTTTATCCAGTGGAGGCTTAAGTATCTCCAAGGATGAAGATTCCCTAGCATCTGTAGGCAACCTCTTTGCATGCTTAACATGCATGTTAGTGAAAAGCATTTGCCTAATACCTACTGGAAACTTCCCCTGTTTCAACTTGCGGTAATAAACACATTGTACAATTACTTCTTTATTTTTCATTACCTATATGTGTGACAGTGGATTAACATTTTTGTGTTTTAAAATATGAACTGAAATTTTATCCTTTCTACCGGATAAGTGTCTACACAACCAGGCACAAACAACTAAAAACAACTAAAAAAACAAAATGGAAAACAAGATTTCCCAATGATTCCCATGAAATTCACAGGACATTTTACGTGATCTGGAAACCTAAGAAAGGAAAACAACTATACAACCTTTGCAGCTACGGGGATCATTTCTCCCTAAGTTACATACTATTAGTTTATTTAAAAAAAAAAAAAAGTCATTTTTGGATTTTCTACAGGCTATGGGTGGGATTTGGGATTCAAGTTCTTCTATAATCAAATTGATTTTGGTATACACCCACATTTTCAGTGCTGTTGCTGCAGTGTATTTACAAATTGCTGCTAGCAATGGAAAAAGGCTGAATCTCATCAACTTGAAGTTGTACCAAGGATTAGAATTGTCTTAATAAAGCCTATATTACAAATACAATCGTTTTACAAGACTGATTAACCAAATACAAAATTTAAAGAAAAATGTTCAAGAAAAAATTAGGAATGGAGTTCATAATTCTATACATTTGTCTGAATATCTGTATCTTATATATATATTTACGTATTTACAGATAGATATTTTTTGTTGTTGCCTAAGCTCAAGTAATTCATGATACCAAATGTCTGTACTGAAATATAAAAATAAAATGAATGAAATAAAAAATAAAGTATAAAACAACTAAAAAAATCTCATGAAAGGCTGCAATAATGCAGTTCATGTTTTGCTATCCAACAAAAGACACTCTCGTATCTTCTACATTGACTTCAGTATTCCCAAATAACTGCCAGAACCTTCTTAATAAATCTGCAAATGACTGGCAGGGAGCATAAGTTAAACAAAGAAGCCAAACCTTACACGAAATGTTCAGTCTGTACTTAAACATGTTTAAATAAAACACAGCACAGACAACTGCAGTTTAATTCTTACCTGCATAGAATTCTGGACTATAAACCGCACCAACAACTGGATTTAATTTCCAGCCTGCAGCAAACATAAAAACATAACGGAGTTAATACTGCAATTACTGATAATAATAATGTATTGTTTATTTATTTATTTTTAATAGAAACACACCTAAAATGCATTCAAGGTCATTTTAATAGAAGTTTTATAGATGTCTTAGATCACTGATCTTTAAAATCAGAATACTCTGATTCTCAAGTATGGAAAAAAGTAATGAAATAAATCATTATCTGGATATTTCAATATTACAAGTAGTACTGGAGCAAATTATCAGGTGAACTAGCTTAGTTGAAATGCACGGCTACCATGATCTTATTGCCTTAAGTTACACAATTACATCAGAACTAGCTCAGGTATCGCTATATCATGTAATAACAGAATAGATCAGTTCTTTTTCATTGCTTTAAATCTCCAGTTACACACCAGTGAGGCCAAAACAGCTCATTTGCTGGACACAGGGTACTTCTGCTAAGCATGCGTTAGCGTATATTACAAGGCAATAAAATGAGCATTTTCACTCTACTTTAGATAAAAAATGAAAGTGTAGACACTGTAAAGAACAGTCCACCGTGACAGAAAAGATAACTGTGCACTGTGTGAACCCAGTCAAACGCCAGACACTTTTTTTCCAAATTGAATTTGTACTTCAGACTCTCTGCACTGAAATGGCACTACACAGTGATGTATCAGAAATGGCTATACAACCTGTGTGTACAGGTGGCATATTATGATGAAATAGCTGGCTTATATGAAAATGCTCCAGTCATGCTCTGCCAACCTCTTACAATGGCGAATGTAGCCAGTGCCTTTGCTTTAAATAACCACTGTCCTACAGCTGGCCTAGAAGCAAGCCAGAACCAAGAGATGTTCTGTGCCATCTGTTCAGGCAGCACTCCAAAGAATTGCTGTTGAGTCCTTACATGTGATGCTGCTCTTCCAGGTACAGAGAGTACACAGCTTTGTTGTAGAAACAGGGCCTGTGTTCAAAGTGCACATGATGCTAAAGACAGCAACGTTGTAGAAACTTGCGGGGAACTTGTAAGCTGACCCTATACAGTTATCTTTAAAAAAGTACAGATTAAATGTGCTAAGGAAATAATTGCATATCGCACAGTAGAACAAGCTTTATTAAGAAGTGGGGCACAGCAACATAGCAAGGATTAGAAAAGATTACTTTCACTTTTTAGAGCAGACAGGTGTGCATTGCCTGAGGAATGCTTTGGTGGGAAAGAAGCCCTGAGACACTGTTCCTTTTCTTCCTGTTTGCATCCAGAACAAGAGAAAAGTGAAGCGAGAGGGAAATTAACCGCACTAATTGTCACTAGTTCTGATTTTGAATGTAAGTTTAGATTAACATGTCTCAAATACAAGATACTGCTAATATTCCTCATCTAATCTCTGTGCTGTGTTTCTCATTCGTTGTTGAGGTTCTCTCAATCTATTTATATGTAATTCTCTATTCCCCATGACTTTGGGAGAGCAACCTGAACTGATGCAACATGAGCATCAGAAGTATGCTAAAAAAAAAATCTAGAAATTACAACCGTGAGCAGGATAGGTTGGAACATCTAAAATTTATCAAGTGTTTTTGCCAGCAAGTAGAACTCTTGACTCTGAATTCATGCACAATGAAAAGGCAGTTCTATCTCTGAAGCACATCCAATATCACTGTATCTGTGAACAAACTCACACCAAAAAGTCCCACTAGAAGCTGAACACTTCTGAACTGTTCACTCCAGGAATTGTCCAAAGTCAATGGAAAGGATATTTATTTCAAAAACCACCTCACACACAAGAGCAAAGTGCTTGTCTGAATGAAGCTGCATATATTTTAAAAAAAATATTTTTAAAAAAGTTGAGATTTGTTTTGCTTTTAAGTCTGTTGCCTTTAGCAACCATATTAACAATATAAGCCCAGTTATCAAGCAACCAGCAATACCCAGGAATGAAAGGCAAAATGGAGTGCATCTTATTTTCAAATTCCAATAAGCATTAAGGCCTTACATGTTGTCATTTAACCATATGTGCCAATAACGTGTCAGTCACCACATACACTTTGAAAAATGAAGCCACCTACTAATGAAGAAATATGTATCTATGAACTGCAGCTAGTCTGTTATATAACCACCCATCAAAAGGTGAATATCAGAGAAGAACATCCTGCATGTATATGCACCCTTGGATGCATACGTTCGCAAACAAACTGTAATTTTTAGGCACTGAGGACGATGCTTCACAGTTCTGCTGGAGATCTCATGCAGACAGAACAGCCTAGAGAATCACAGACACAAAACAGTACAAGTGGGAAACACTAAACAGCAATTTATCTAGCTCTGGATATAAATAAACGACAATGTACGACAACCCAGCAGTGCAGAACACAAAGGTGAATCTTCCTTAAAATCAGGTTCCTAAAATCTCTTTTCCAGCATGACCATCCACTAACACTAGATATGTTGATGAGTAATGTGCTACTGGTAAGCATTTTATCTTCAGCATGATATGCATACAAAAATATACATCATCATTGACATCAAATCTACTTTTATATTTTTATAATTACAATACAGCAGGCTAAGTTCATAGTACCTATCATATGCATAAATTTAATATAGCTTCTTATCGTAACAAAATCTTGCTTTGTGATCCAGTCAAGCTTCATGTCTCGTTAGATTTACTGAGATGTTTTAAAGTCAGTAATAACGAAGGATTTCCCATCTGCATCATTTGGCAAGTTACACATTTACATACAAAATGAGGAAGAAAACATTTTCTGAAAAATCATTAGGAATTTCAAGACTCCTCCATATCATTATAACTTGTTCAATTATTGCATGTCAAATGAAAACTGTCACTTTATTTTTACCACACTAAGAAAAAAATATGACTCTTTAAATAAAAAAAAAAGGTCACAATTTGCCATGGTTTTTAGAAAAATCTCAGTAATGAATGCTCAAATACGGAAAATAAGATACATTGTATTTCAAAACAGTAAAGAGTCTAAGCTAAATGTGGAAATTGTTATTGCTGTATATGTAGATTTCATCTGTTTTCTACTGGGATGGGAAAAGCTGAATTAAATTGGAAAGCAAATAATTACAGCTACACATTCTAGTAAAATAGGAAAACGTAATTGCAATTAACTTCCATTGATGTATTATTGTTTGACGATGAGTTAGGAACTTGTTAGCATTTTCTGAACTAGCAAGTGCAAATAACTTCTGGAGCACATGATAAAATGTTGCCAGAGAAAACAGATTTGAAATGTTTTGTCTTTAAACACCTTGAATATCCATAGATTATGTTTTTATCATTAATTTCACTTTTTAGATCACTATTAGAATAACTTTTTTAAGCAACTGAGAATTTAGATTACTCCATGGAAGAAAGGCTGGAATCAGGATTCAATTGCAAGTTGCCCTTTACTTTTAACAAAGCACATAAGGAAGACAAAAGAAATATCTTTGCTCAGATATGTGACTCAGTACTATACAGGATCTCACTCCTGACAGAGGCATTCTTCCTCCAGCATCCAAGAAAAAGTGAATCCTTTGATCAGCTCATTTGTTACAACATTAACACCATGCAAAGCTAGAAGAGAATAATGCTACCGGGTATATTTTCCCTATACAAAAGCCACTGTGGTTAAACTCGCAGATTCCAGACAGGCAAAATGCTCCATGTTATGCCCATCCCTGTGAATTAAAGCAAGTTCACAAGGATGGAAATTAAGCTCGGCTATAATGTGTTTTCTTTCTGGGTTGCTGGATAAAGCGTGAGCCCAAGGAGATGCAGGATGCAGAGTGTGACACTTCGTCCGTGGATGAGTCCACCCATCCACGGGAAGAGTGAAGTTTCGCATGCACTGACATAAAAACCACACAGTGAGATATCATGCACTTACCATTTGTGTAAGGGTTGACGGTCTTTTTATTTGTCATTACACGTGCTGTTGCATTATTTACCTAAGCACATAGAACACTGGATTAGAAAGGGTTACAAGGATGGCCTGTGGTATTATTAAATGCATGCATTATCATTGCTATTAGTCATGTAAAAAATAAAATGCAATTTAATTTATAGAAGGCAACAGGTGCATAACAAAATCATACTATTTATAATTACATTTACTTTCATAACCATTTTAACTTACAAATCATTTCAATAAAGCAAAGTCATATCATTTAAACTTTAATAAAAAGACATTAAAAGCAAATTAAAAGGTACTGCATAATTTAAGACTTAAGAGCATGCTTGTATTCCATGATAACACTGATACAATAAATATTCAAAACAGAAAAAAAAAGATTATATGAAGGAACATGCAGTGGAGTAGAAGGGAAATAGACAAGGTACAAGGAAACAAAGAAAATGTCAAAAAAAGGGACAAACGAATTTTAGCAGTGTGCAACATAACCCTTTAGAAGAGAAGTACCATTGGAAAAGCAACATCTAGCATTCAACACTTGGAACAAGAGCCTTTTTCATTGCAAGAATTAACAAAATCATTCAAGCTTTAAAATCACAGCTAACAAAAGGATAAAAAGAGGGTGCATTATTTAACACAATATGGAGTTAACAATCTGAGTAAGATGTGCACGAAGTCATATCCTCAATCCAATCAGTGCCTCCCAGGCTTGCTTAAAACGTACACTCAATTACAGGCGTACCAATATAGAAAAAAATGTAGCATCAAGAAAACTTAATACAACAAGTCAAAAAAATTCACGTGGTATATCAGCGCTAAATACGTGAAACGGCAGATGGACTTCTCCACTTACCATTCAGCACCATCGCCAGCATGGGTATGTATACAGTTACCATGGTTACTGAGAGTTTGGTGAGGGCCCTAAGCGCTACCGTCGAAGGGGGAAAATGAAAAGGCAAAATATGCAACATCTTACTCAAAAGACGACAGCATTTTCAATTGGTATTTTTTTTTTTTTTAAATTCTAACAAATACGACTGAGGCAGTATTGAAGGGGATCCAGTGGTACTAAAACGAGTTTATGTTGTTTCTTTTATAGATACGAATAACTCAGGCCATCCAGCCAAAGGAGCCTGATGGTTTCAATAAAAACGAACTCTTAAAATCAGTTGGTTTCTAGTCTGCCTTTGTTTCTTTTTCTTGCACATCTTTTGGATGCTTCTTTTCCAATCTGAATTTTTTTGAAAGCCACTGTGGATCCCACATCAACCCTGCAGAAAAAAATAAAAAAATAAAAACAAAACCAAAACAAAAACCAAAATCAAAAAAACAACCTTTTGTTTGTTTTTGTTTTGTCTGTCACACAGTTTTTTTGTTGTTGTTGGCTGATTTTTTTTTTGGGAATCTACTGCACCCATTGATTCACAAAATATCCAAAATAATAACTTCAAAATATTAAAGCCTTTTTTTTTTTTTTTTCCTCCAATTCCACCTTTCAGCAATAATGATAATAATAATAATAATTACAAAAGAAATAATAATAAAAAACCCAAGTAAGGCCAGATTCTCTCACTTTATATATAAATATATATATAAACAATGGGAAGGGGAAAGGGGAGCACACAGAAGACACCAATGATGCATCTGAAACAACAAATGAGAGTGAAGCAGACATTTATAAAAAGGATGAAAAGGAAAATATTTTGAACATGCACCTCGATTTTACGGCCCTCTACCACGGTGCCGTGTAATTTCTCCCTCGCCCTGTCCGCATCAGCACTATTTTCGAAAGTTACGAAACCAAATCCCTGCATGCAGGAGGGAGAAGGGGGGAAAACAACATGCACATTATTATTTCAGTCAACGACCACTTGTTTGCTTATGTTCTCTCTCTTTAATTTAACATTTTCTTGTCCTTGCTTCATTTCTGTAACATGCAAATTAGAAAAATTATAATTGTATTGAGATGTGCAATAAATAAGCGACAAATGTGAACAAATTTTTTCTGTTATCAGTTACATAATACCCTCCGAGAAATTCGAAGAATGATACCAAAAATACCTTTCTACGTGTCACTACAGAGGAAAATAAATCTAACAATAAGAAAATTAAATCAAAAGAAATTACAGTGTCTTCACATAGAAAAAAAAAATGAACTAATGAGAAAAGAAAATGAATCACATTTTAACAGCATGCAGATATCTCAACAAAATAAAAAACATGTGCACAAAATTCAACACTGAATGTCAATATACTCTAAAACATTGCCTACTTAATCATGCTTTTGTGATCATAAGAAACACTGTTCCCATGCAACACTAGGGTAACTTAAACTTTTTTCAAACTATACAGCCTTTACTTATTTTTTTATAAAAACAAAAAGAAAAAAAAAGAAAAAAAAAAAAAACCACTAACAAAAGTACTTTCAGAAGAAAGAAGAAAACTTCCTTGTATTAACAGATCAAATAAAATCACATGATGTGAACAGAAAAATAAACTCCAGTAAAAGAATAAAAATGAAAACGCTTTGAGTAACTTTAACTGGTTTATTTACTATTTCTATATTTTACTTCCCACATGCAACTGGTAGGACTCCAGAATCCCATGTTAATGGGACAGGAGAACACTCGACTAATATGAAATTCTCCGCAGGACAAATACTTCACTTTATAACATCAGGCTAAGTAAACATTTCCAATCCTACTAAAATTATTTTTATTATGCTAAGATAAACTAAGCATTGTTTACAAATATTTAATGTAAAACTGCTGTAAACACTTTTCAAATCAGACATTATAAAACATTCTAGAAAGATACACCAACCCTTTGAAATAATTGTTACGATAGCACTACAATGCCTTTGCAAGCTTTCTTGAATAAACTCAACTTCTATAACCCTGAATGCTTCATAATTACAAACACCTGCAAGTTGTACATGCCCATATTTTTAATTAAAGCATTGCTGCATTTATTTGAAGTCCTACTACAACCTTTTTCTTCAGTTTTACTTAAGGTTTGCTTTTGTTTTATCACTCAACAATAAGCCATGCATCATATCTATCATATTGAGGTTGGCAGCCTTGCATGCAGCAGGGGGGCTGGAGCTTGATGATCGTTGAGGTCCCTTCCAACCCAAGCCATTCTATGATTCTATGATATTTCCTTAAGCTTTTCCTCCCGTTCATCCTCATTCTGCAGAATGTTCCCTGAATGAGGTGTCAGTATTCAATCATTTAGCCTCTGAAGTTCTACCTATTATTTACACGGTGAGTGAAAAAAAAAAAAAAGAGGACAAAAGGAGGATACTTATCCCTTTCATTGCAAATAGATAGCCAAGGCAAAACTAAGTATGGACACATAAAACACTGAGGAAAATGATGGACATGAACTACAAAAATAATGCATGGACAAAACAATTTGGAGAAACTGTCAGGATTATTACGTGGGTGTTTGCCTTATTTTGCCTAATAAACAATCATATTGATGCATGCCAGTTTATAACATTGGAAGAGATTTCCATACAGTAGCAGTTTCTATCTGATTCTCTCCCAAATAGTTTAAACGTACAGAACATTGCTGCTCTTGTTTTTTATTTATTTTTATTTTTCTTCATTTTAAAGCCACACTGAAGACTGAGCTTGCAAGGGCTCCATCAGCATTCTCAGACCACATGACACCACATATTTTCTCCACTCCACCCTCTGAAATTTTAAGACAAAGCCACGATCACAAGACAATGAACACATTATTATTTTTCCAGAAAAAAATAGTGGTCCTCAAGGGAGAGTAAATAAGCTTCCTCAGTATTAATCTTTACATTTTAGATGCCTGCATAGACCTTACTTTAAGCTCTAAATATTTATTTCCTCATTATTGCTACCCCAAAACTCTGATGTTGTAGAAGTTCTTTCAAAAAGCTTATAATTTAGAAGACCACTAAGAAAACTTCACAACAGAAACCACTGCTGATCCAGCAATGGTGAGAACCTATTTCCACACAGTTCCATACATCCTTTTTGCTTTTTCTCCATCCTTGCTGCAGAACCACCCCACTCTCCATAGGGGAGCCGTTTACAAAATTCAGAATCATTCTCACTGGCTTGCAGTGCTGCCAGTTAATTTTTTTCAAATAACTGAATGGAAAGAAAAATCTAAGGAAAGAGATAAAAAAAAAGTGGAGCCACAAGACAAGACAAGAATTTCAAAGATTCTGAAATAAATACCCAGTGTATTTTTTTCAATCTTTTCCTATAACTGACACTATTGAAATCAAGATTTTAATTTTTATGCAAATGGATAATTTCACCTAGATTACCAAGAAACTCAGCCGCCAACCAAAGATTTGTACATCCTATATATAAATAGGAGGACAAACACATTAGCATGCATTTCACATGCAGCTGATTCAACAGTTAATTTGGCTTACCAAATTATATATTTTATTAACCAGTAATGTAAATTTCTTCGCTTTATTTTTAAGTCTGTCAAATGACTTAAAAACAGTCAAGTCTGTACAAGACAAATTTCTGTTTTATTTTAGGAGATGCATCGGAGCTTTTGTTATTTGAGAAATAGCTGTTGCTGTAATATACAGCAATTATATAATAATACATACACACCAAGAGATTTAAGCCAGCATACATGTAGTATATAGATCGCTGACTAGAACACTGATACACAGCTGTTAGCTTTTGTACTCAAACTTACTGAGATCAGTTAGTAGACCTTTCAGAGGGATTGAAGTTTTAGGAGAACATGGATAATCATTGCTAGGAACGGGACTTGAATCAAATGCATCTCAAATCCTACAGAAGAACTTGAAGTGATCAGATAAAACCCAAACATATTCTTGTTGTTCACGACATTTTTCATTATCGATGTGTTTTCACTACTATAGGATCACTAGCGAAAACCCTCAGTTTAGAAATATTTCCCACCTCCCCAAAAGACAAATTTATGCTGTCTGATGCAACCATGGAGGCTGAAAGTCCTGTGTATGCAAGATTTAATGGCTGAACAAAGGTATAACCTACTACAAATCATTTCCACTCATTTCCCCCCAGAACCAAGTGAAGGTGGCAAGTGCAGGATGTCATTTGAAATTTATAAAACTATCTAGTAGGAACAGGCTCTGCAAAATCAACATATTTTGCAAAAACTACGCAACCTTCATAATGTAATGATGACACGTTTCAGCCAACATAGGAGACTGTCGCCAACTTAAAAAGATCACCTTCTAAGCCATTAATTTCCGTAAGTTTTGGTTGCTTAGTGAAGAAACAGCTAAGTGTTCAAATTGGGTTTTGGAGCGGTAGGCAAGGGAACTAATTAATGAAGGTCAGAATAATTCTGGAATATGGGCCAGAACGTTTTAAGCATTCTATTAAAGAAAGAGGAAGGATGTGAGGAGGTATAGCCCTTAAATGTAGAAGTTAAATGCTAACACATGAAAGGAAAAAAAAATAAAAATGTATCTCATTTAAGAGAAATTTATCATATGTGTTTCATCTTAAAAGTTGAAAGATCACAGAATAATGGAAAACAATTACTACTAATAAATCATATATAAGTGTTGCTGGCAGACTAAAACATTAGCAGTCAAACATGACAGTTTTCTAACATGGGAGAAAAAGTAAAAAGATAGCATGCATATGCCATACACAAACTCTTATACCGCAGCTGATATAATAGGTGAAACATACTGTGAAATTGGCTACTGCTTGGAACCAGGTAATGAAGATGATGCAGGCATAATCATTCTATTTTGACTTATTTCTAAACATAGAGTATATTGTTTGAATTGGAGGCGAAGTAAATCTCAGAAAAAAAAATCAAATGTTTTCAGTATAATGAGAACCCTTTTAATCAAATAAACGATTAAACATTCAAAGGGTTGGTGTACTAAGCTTTTACTAAAGAGGAAAACATCTGCACTTAAATAATTTGAAACGATCGTATTTTCTCACTTCATTACTGAACAAGATAGTTAATAGGTATTATTATTATCTTCCATTTCAACAGGAAAAAAACTACTCTAATACAAAAGTCATCTAAAAATATCTTTAAGTATGGACTGATCTTATAAAATACACATGGTAACGATAATTGAATAGTAAAGAAAACAGGTATCAACATTCCCATAAAACAAATGACTGTTTGAAGTAGCTTAAGTTACCTCTTTTAAAATATATAAAATGAGTCCAACGTCTGCTTAGCAAACTAAATCAGAATGCGCTTTTCAATAACATTGAGTTTCAGATCTTACTCATTTTTTACATTAGTGCAGTTGTTTCCTTTTATTTGTTAAAAATATATTCAACAGGCTAAAAAAAAACATCTTTGGGTGAATTAAACTGCTTACCTTTGAGCCTCGCTCATTAAAAATAATTTCAACATCTAAGATTTTACCAAATTGCTGCAAAGAAATAGAAAAGTTACATGAAAAAAAGATAATTTAATCAATTCTATCATTAGTAGTACAAATGTTTGTTGCAGAAATTGATGCACTGTATCAAAAAGTTAAAGAATATAAAGTCAAGGATAGTCAAGCACCAGAAAAGACACACTGAAGAGTAGTCAGTACCATTAAATCAGGTACGTCAATGCCACTATGATACCATATATTCATTTATGAATTTAAAATTTATTGGGATGTTCTGACAGTCATCATGGAACTGTAAACTGAATTGAGAGTCTGAAATTTCTTTCGTTACTGTTGCTTTTCTTTTCAGATAGTAGGTTACTTCCTGGTGATTCATCCTGTTCAATTGCCATCAGTGCTTTTTTAAGAATGTAATATGCTGTTGGGTTAATTTGTTTGGTGTTTGGTAAAATATCACTAGGAAGACAAGATTAATGGCCGGATGAACACTGTTACCCTCTGGTCAGCAAACCCTCTAAGAACCTGTGTTTCAGAAGATTTTTTTGCTGTTGCTTTCCAGTACAGGTTTGTGTTTTACAGGAACAGGATGGAATCAATTGGGAATTTTGTCACTAGCTTCAAGGGAGTGAGGATTTCTCCTCACCATTGCATCCCATAAAGGGATATCCTTTATCCCCTGCGTAATTCTTGTCTTCCTAAAATGTATTTGGCAAGCTAGAATAGATAATTACGTGTTGGGGAATTTTCCCCCTCAGCAGGGCACTTTATTATAATATTAACTCTTAATTCCATTGATCTCCCAATAGCACAGTCACCTAGGCATTGCTCATTCACACAAAACCTGACCAAATATTTGACTCACACAACATTTAGTTACAGTTACTTTTGTAGATGGCACATTTTTGGGGATGCGACACTTGAATACATCAGTGGGTCATTTCTGTTTATTCTTATATCATTAACATGCTCTATTGATCAACGTTAACACTAATAAGTGACGTATACAATGATTAAACAAAAAGGCAGAAATTAGAGGCAGACAAATGAAGAATAAGCTACCAGCAGCGCAAGGAACTGCAGAAATCAACCAGTACTGCAGTTTTTTAAGATATAACAAACACAGGACAGAAACAATAGCACTTCTTTACTTCATAAGTGATTTCATCTTAGTTATGAAAATCAACCATCTTTTGTTATCCCTTGGCTTATTTTATGTTCTTGTATTCACAATCTAGTTAACTAACATTTTAACTGCTATTTTAGCCTGTAAGCAGGCAATGGCTGGTTAAACAAATCCTTCTCTGCAGTATTCATGTCCATATAAAAAAAATAATCTGCTATGTGCATAACACAATCAAGATGCAGCATTATCATTTCACTTTGGATATTTCATTACTCTAACACTTGCAGAAATTTAATTTTTCCATCAAATCAGAAGCTAAAAGTTTTCTAAGTCATTCTAAAGCTGGAAAACTCCAGTCCCCCTATCTCGAGAACTAAGACACAAATACTGAGAAGAAATGCAATTGCTATCATTTATAAATAACTAAAATCCCTAGACTTTTTTTTTTTTTAATGTACTTTCAAATAAAATGCATCTGTTTTACTCGGTTTAAGTCAAATATTTTTCCCCCCCTCTAGAGTGTTACTTTCTAGAGGATAAAATGCAATGCAGCAGTTTAGACACAGGAACACAGACACCATGATTTCATATCCATATCCATAACAGGATTCTTTTTCTCTAGTGAACAATTTCTTTATTTTATACAAACAAATACTAGGAACATCTTAACACACACAAAAAGACATGAGAAGAATTTAAGTCTGAGCCAAACACGAGAGATCTAGAGAAAGATAATGGCAAGTAGTGTGAGGGCTGCTCCCAAAGTAATGCCTCCTATTTTACTGTGCTGGCCCACAATGGATTTTGGTGGGAAGGCAGCAAAGGTTGAACCTTCCCATCAATATTTTGTGACATTTTGATGCATTGCGACAGATGGCAGCAGAGAGGCACTCTGACAAAACGGCATCTGATGTGGAAATGCATATGAAGCAAATACGTGTCACTGAAACCCTTCATGCAATAAATAAATAAATAAAATAAAGGCACCCACTAACATTTATCAACACTTGCTGAACATTTATGGAGACCAAACAGCGGATGTAGCACCATGAGGTAATGGGTGGTACATTTCAGCCATGGAGAGAGTTATGTGAAAGACAAGCCACGTTCTGGATTGCTATACATGGCTATCAACCCACAAAATGAAGAACATCATGGCCAGCTCTTCTAGGTGAATTGATATAGTACAACCTGAGAACTGTGTATGGGGCTGAATATTGGCTTCAATGCATTGGAAATGGTGGCAAGGTTGAAATATCACCAAGTTTGTATCATCCCACAAATGCTTACACAGGAACAGAAAGAATACCATACACAAGTTTTTGAAGACCTGTTGATCCAGTACAAGGCTGAAGGTGAATGTTTCCTGTACTGCATCATTATTGGTAGTGAGATGCAGTGTCACCACTATAAGCCGAAATCAAAACAGCAGTCCACCAAGTAGCGACATGTAAATTCCCCACTGAAAAAGTTCAAGACAGAACTTTCAGTGGATGAAGTGATGTGTGTTGTCTTTTGTGACAGGAAGGGGGTTATCTTCTGGTTTTCATGGAACCTGGACAAACCATCAACTTTGACCGGTACATCACGATGCTGACAAGGGCTTAAAGAATCAGACCAGAAAAGAAGATAACCTTTCTCTTGCAACACAGCAACTCCAGGCCATATGCCAGTTTACAGAACATGGAACACACTGCCAGTATTGGCTGAACTGTCCTACATCCACCACATAGCCCAGATTTGGTGCCTTCTGACTTCTATCTGTTTGAACTAATGAACGATGTGCTGTGTAGACAGCATTTCTCTAGTGAAAAAACATCAACTGCAAAACAGTACGGCAGCTCCACTGGTGCATATTTTTTGATTGCAGCAAGTGGGCTCTCTTTCATCACTGGAGAAAATGCATAGTTAATTGCTGTGACTATGTTAAAAAAAAAAAATAGTGTTTGGAAGTTGATAATTTGCTCTATCAAATAGTGCAATTATTTGTAGCTGTTGTAGTTTCCATTCAAATAAATAGAAGGCGTTACTTTTGGAGCAACCTATGTACTTCATGTTGTGCTATGTAACATGAACTATAACACAGAAGAGATATAAGTTTTGGTGAGTCATAAAAAAGAAAGGAAGAGATACACAAATACTTGAGAGTACTTGTTTGGAAAAGGAAAATCTGTGTTCTAATAGCTGCTCAAGTACTGTTTCCAGATTTTACTTAATAAGTTTTCAAAAATAAACCTAATAGTTCTTGGAGCAGGGAGAAGAAACCAGGTCTAACCTCTCCATGGTTATGAGCCTAGAACTGATGGCACGTATGAGACGTGTGAAACAGCCAATGCACATGAAGGTAGCTGATGGCCTGAGCAAAAGCAAAAATTGAGAGACTTAGAGAAATATAACGTCAAAAAGTTTAGAAGCCTACAGGTCTATAATACCTATGGGAATAGGCAAGGATTCCTATGCCTGGACTTCTTGCTTAAACCCAGCCCATGTCTTACTGTTTAGAGATTCAGTTCTCTTGCTCATCAGGTGAAACATTGATTACTTCATATTACACTGTCCAAAAATCAATAAATCAAGCATACAAATCCAGATGAGTACAGCAGGCGTATGTATACACTGAATATTTTTAGCCAATCTAGGTAGCTATTTTGGAATGAAATATAGGTAGCTGTTTCTGAACAAAATGCAGAACTACAAAATAAATAGAACACACTAATTTGCACATATGATGAAATTAGAAGTTTTTTCCCCCAACTATCTGATTTGTCAGTCATGTTTGGATACAACTAAATGAAAAGAGAATCTCCAGTGAAAATGGTTAAGCAGTCTAAATCATAGATATCTCTGTCAACATTGCCTGTAATATAAAGTCCTTCTTGCAATGCAAACGTAGAAGAGCATAGACAAAGTATTAGTACTTACACCAAACATTTGTCTAAGATCTGGATCACGGAATCTGAATGGTATATTTGAGACGTGAAGCCGTTTTGGCTGTGATTTGTTTTCTGTGTTTTCAGAAGATTGCGTCTGTTGCTGACCATCGGTCTGTGCTGCATCTTCTGTCTGCTAGAAGGGTAAAACAAAACAACGTAAAGCACACTGCAAGCGCTTCTGCATTTTAATGTAAATAAAGTGGCGGGCTTAAAATCCAGTCAGGCAAAGGTGCTGAAGGATAACAGAATTTGAAATGAAAATCAAATCCTTTTCTGTATCCTTCTCAGTATATGCATTTGGTGACATTTTTAATACGCATTTCGAATAAGTCAAAGAGAATGAGGGGTATTATTTTCAGTGCTGATTTTCTTAGCTTTTTCTAAATAATGTCTCCCTATATTACAAGGCTGTTGACACTCTATGTCCAAATAACAGTGTATTTACAGCAGCAAGCTACAGACTAACAAACAAGAGTAGTGCTTTCATTCTGAGGCCACTGGGATTTCTACACAGGAGGTAGGTAACACATTATATCCAAGTTGCCATTTCATAAGCAGTGCTAATAGGTACCAGAGAGTCATTTTGTCCAGATAAATGGTCACCATCGTGGAAAAAAGCCTTGAGTTGAGTTGTGAAAAGGAACAGAAGTATAACCAGTGGAGATTTTACAGATTTTCTTTCTCACCAAAATAAGAACAATAAGAACGTAGGACAGTACTTCTTACAGGGATAATGTATCCTAGTTTTAAAATGCAGTTTTATAAAAGATGGACACTGCTTTGCATTACATTTTAACAAACGGAATCATAAACCCTTAGAGGGATTAGGGAAAACAGAAACACAGTCATTTGAAACACAAAACTAACCAACACTAGTCTACCGGTATATTACAGAAACGTATGGGTTGCATTCTTTAATGATATCACACAATGTCTTATTCATCTTTGTGTGTACAGCACACACTCAGTAGAAATAGATTTTGCACAGGTCTGTAAAATCAACAGTTATTTGCTTCTGCTGTGGTAGGAAAAAAAAAGAATAGGAAAAAAGCAGATTAATGAAAGTACAAGGATATCTTACAACTCTATTTTCTCCATGCTTCCTCTTTCTTCTGATCATATTCTCCTTCGAAATATTCATTTTTCCCTTGTGTTCTAATGTTACAGTTCAGTCTAAATTTGACTTTTTTATGTAGAAAAAAAGTCATCTCCCGTTTCCTGCTGGTATCAAATTTATTTTAATGGACTTCCATTTAAGGGAAGTAAAATGGTTAAATAAAATGAACCTTACCATAGTTTTAGTATCAATAGGCCTGCTAGGAAGGAGGTAAAATAACTCAAACAGAAGACACCACTTACATCAGCGATGACTACACACAAACTTAATGCTAGCAAGTGAAGTTCAACATCATCATCCCCATGAAAAACAAACGTTCTCCAAGTACTAGCACGTGCAATTTCCTGTATTGTTCATATTTCTATGCCATTATTATTGCTTTAATAACCATCAAGAAAAATAAACTACTGTTGTACAGTGATTTGTTGCAGAGAGATTTTCTGAGAACTTTTCTTCTAGGTCATTCGCTATCTTCTCTTTAAAGACCCTGAAAATCTAGTTATTTTGGACAGGGAAATTTAAACTGAATCTTCAACTCTGGAAGTACAATGCATATATTCTTATCCTTGCTCTACAGCCAAATTCCTTGATATGATTTCATTTAAGAAATGTGACTGTGCTTCACTGAAAGATAGATAATAGCAACAATATCTTAAGCAAAGACAGGATAAATTATACCTCCATGTAAACTAGCAATTTCAGCACTATGCTGTGAATAAAAGTTGGAACAGTTCTTTCTAAGGGATAATCCTTTAAAATAATTTTTTATTTTTTTTCAACATTGATGACTTTATTACCAACTGTTAACATTTTACAATGTGTGCTTAAATAGTGCAGGTGCTCTTGAGAATATCCATAAGTAACCAGCTTCGATGTCTGAATCAGAGGTCTTAATCTCACTGTAGTCACTAATCTCCTCAAAGAATTAGTTCTCAATTTGGGACAAATTAGAAAAAGCAAAGGAGGTGCAAAACAACTTAGCGAGGGGACAGTAAAGGGAAAGGGACACAATGAGGCTCAACGCATATTTTCTTTTCTCACAAAAACGCCTCATCGTTGTACTGCAGCTCCTCTCCCTTCAGTTCAAGTGTGCTATAACAAACAGCCCACTGAAATTATCCCAGTTAATAAACAGGGAAAGAATTTCAAGGCTTTATTTCATCGTGGTTTTTCTGCTGTAATCCAATCTACAGTGTATTTCTGCCAATTGCTGAATGCCAGTAGCTAAATGGAGTAAGGATTTTCTGAAGGAAACAGACCTAACCTGCACCAGTATCAATGGCTGATATCCTCATTTTTTTTCAGAAGCACCAGTTCACCAGTAATGTCTATGCTGGACAATGCTGCTCAGACAAAAACAAACAAATAAACAAACAATAAGGTGCTCTAAAGACTAATTTTCAAGTGATCCAACTGTAAGTCTAGAACTGTATGTTTTGATCTGCTGCTGCCTGAACTCACGGGAAAAACCAAAGAAACTGAACAGTTCATCCTTAAGTATTTCTCATGATTTAAACAATAAAGCAAGAATTTAATTGTTGGAAAAAGGAATCCCCAACAACCTTTTAATATGGCATCTAAAATCAACTCAAAAATTCAGAGTTTAAGTTTTAGGAAGTTATTCCATCCATAAAATCAGCAAAGATTACTTTTCGCATTCAGGCCTTAAAAAGAGAGAGATATGATAGAAACTTGGCACACAAGAGCAGGTAGCGAATGCAGGACAGGAAAATACTTGAAGTATAATGCTTGCAAAGAATTTAAGGTCAAGGAGATTAATCTGAAGATAATTAAAGAACTGTGAAGGTGCTGTTCAGCTTCACGAACAAAGGCTGCCCCGGGAAGAAATTATATAATCAGCTTACTGTATAAATGCAAATTGGAAAAAGTAATTTCTGTTCATTGTATTAATATAAAGATGAGAAACAAGGAGCAGAAGGGCTGAATTGTGCACTATCAACATACCAAAATGTCAGGAGCAACTTCTGTACTGAGAAATTTAACATACATATCAACACAAAGCAAATTTATTTTATCCTTCCATAGAAAACTGAAATTTCCAGTGAAGAGCATTTAAGAGTTCAGGCAACAGGGAATGGAAATTAGAAAGTTTAAAAAGTTGCCATCATCTACGATTCATACCTGCAAATGTCTTTAAAAAAGTCTAAAAGAGAAAACACGTAAAGTGCATTATAAGATGTGACATTACAACAGTATCTTTTCAAAGTGCATCACCATCTAGAAACATACACACAGGCCTAGAAGATCTGGATAAGGGTAGTTGCAAAGTGAAATTGAAATAAGAAGCTTACGAGAAAACTTCCAAGTAACACCAAAGAGGTAAATGCACAGAGGATACAATCTGGATTTGATGAAGTCCTAAAAAGGAAACTTTCAAAGCCCTGTGGAGGTGGAGAGCTACAATGCAATTTAACTTCAAAGAAATACTACATTTCAAGACAGTATTTCTACTGCTAGAAGATACAAAAATTGTGTTTATCTTGAGAAATTAACTGAAGTTAGTATAGAAGTATGCCTCACTACATGCCTGTGGATTAGCATGCAATCAGTGCAGGTCCTGATCCATTAAGGGTCTGTTCTCTTTTAATACCTTTCCTAATTCAATCAAGTAAATTAGTATGCTTTATTCAAAACAAATAAAAACTTATTTACTCTTTATCATTAGACAGAAATAATACAAAATGCACGGCAATCTGTGCGATGACCTTATTTCTTCTTTTGAGTACTAAGCTGTATCAGATTTACCTTTGCATACCAGGAAGCTATGAGTTTAACTTAGCAAAGACATCACAATACACACACTGATTATTCAATGCATTTCAGTACTGGAACTATCTACCATTGCCACTTCTAAACAAGTGCATTAGAGACATTTGGCTAAATATCTTCTAAAACAATTACAAAAGAAAAAGTATTTATTTTTTTATTTTTTTACTTTTTAAATAATCCTACAGAGCTTGGTTAGAAGACGGTTTTAAATCTCAACTGTAATCATCACATTCACATAACACAATTGATTAAAAACACAGTTATGCATTCATCATGTATCCACATGGTCCAGCTATGCCAGGCTGTTTGACGTTCTCTTCTTGAAACGTACCTTTCAAGAAAGATATAGTCAAACCACTGCTCAGTCAGAGTAAAAAAGATTCAAGCTCTTGCTGTTCATACGGAAATTCATCATTATCATCACAGCCACAGATCTTGTTTCTGTCAGTCACAGCCTTCTTGTGCGCATCAAACCACTATCTAAGCAAATGTGGTTGAAGATCATTTGGAAGGACAATGCTCAGACAGAGCTCAGAGACATTTAGTGGCAAGAGGTTTCCCTTGTAAAACTGGTTACTACGTTCTTTTATTTGTTCAATACCCCAAACTCCACATAAGGCAATAACACTATAATGTTCATAGGCCAATAGCCTCAAGGAATAGTAAATAATAAACCTGGTCAGAATTTCTTGATTACTCCCTAGAATGGTAGGATTCATTTACTCCTCATTTTGTCGGAGGTAAAATTAGCATTTGCCAGAATATCTTAGGTAGACCTGGTGGGTCAAACCTGCTCTTACCGTCTTCCAGAGGCAGACACCCCACAGGCAGCTATTCCATTATTTCTCTTTTCTTATTGGAGTTCAAAAACATTTTCATCTCTTATATACCATATGTAAAGTGGAGTAATTAAGATGATTCCCCTTAGTCTCATCTTTTGCCTGACAACTACGGCAACGGTTTTATTCTATCCTCCTTGGTACCACATTCCAAAACGTTCTCTGACTTCTCCATTTGGTCCACGTCCTTTTAGCTGGTGCCTAATATCTCACACAGTATTCTATTTTAGGACTTAACATTTGTTGCTTGAATCATGAGGACAGCATCAGATATTTTCAAGATAGATTTCTGTCATGCATCAAGATGGTCCTTGCTTTTCCCCTGTTTCTATTATTTTTGAGGATTTCTTTCCTTTTATTTCCCCCCTTCAACAGGATTACATTCAT